TATCCACAAAAACAACAACGAGTCTGGTGGCACCTTAACGACTAATAGATTTATTTGGGTATATTCTTTTGTGGGAAAAAAACCCACTTCTTCAGATGCATAGAGTGAAAGTTACAGATGCAGGCATTATATAATGATACATGAAGAGAAGGGAGTTACCTCACAAGTGGAGAACCAGTGTCGACAGGGCCAATTCGATCAGGGTGGATGTGGTCCACTCCCAATAATTGATGAGGAGGTGTCAATTCCAGGAGAGGCAAAGCTGCTTCTGTAATGAGCCAGCCACTCCCAGTCCCTAGTCAAGCCCAAATTATGTCTCATGATATAACGCCTGTATCTGTAACTTTCACTCCATGCATCTGAAGTGGGTTTTTTACCCACGAAAGCTTATGCCCAAATAAATCTGTTCCCCTGCGCAGGAGTGGCCCGGAGGGGGGTGGGGGGGGGATGGCAGAGGGTGCACTGGCCAGGCATGGGTTGCATTGTGCCAGGTGGTGCTGGTGCTACCCTTTTAGTTCCTCTTAGTCTGGCACACCACAACCCATGCTGCGCCCTCTGCCATCCCAGCCACCCACAAGCAGGTATGTGAATGTACAGAAATGTGAACTAGCATCTCTTCTTGTGCCTTTCCATCAGCTCTCTCTGCACTAACCCCTTTGTCCGGCAGGAAATGATTGCATCCGACTCTCAGAAGAACTGACAAGCCAAGCATGTTTATAGAGAGGCACTAGGGCATTGGGCTTCATTTCTGCCTCTTCTAATGCTGATCATTTTGCCAGCCAAGTGCTATGTGATCTCATACCTTGGCCTTCCCTTTTCTCCTGGGAAATCCGTGCAGTCCCTCCAAAAGAGCAGCTGGGCATGGCTTATGCTTGCCAGAGGGTGACGCTGTGCTGGACGGAGGTTGTGCCCAGCCGGATTCAAGGACCCCTGAGAGTTTGCATCACAGGAGAATCTTTCATTTGTGCTTTGTGTGCGCAATGAGTGTGAAATGGCAACACATTTGCATGCTGAATCTCAGCCCCACTCCTTCCCAGAGCCCAGCCCCACACGACAAGGTGCTGAGGCCCAGACCCTCCAATGGGAGTTCATGCCTAAATACCTTTGAGGAGCTGGGCTTGTGTGCTTTCAACTCCCAATGAAGCTGGTGAGAGCTGAGAGCAGTCGGCCCTCACAGGGCCCAGCCCCAAATACGCATTAGCAAAAAACTCACAATGCCAGGTAGGTGACTTTTGAGGTGCATGCATGGCAGATTAATCTTTTGTGGGCCTTCTTGGCACTCAGACTGTGCCCCCTCCCCTGCCCCCCCCCAAGGCCCGTCCCCTGCTTGGCCTCTCCTCCCTCCCCTGCCCCCCGGTCGAGACCCTGCCCTGCCGCTTGCAGAGAGGGAGGGAAGGAGTGGAGAGGAGT